CGGTCTCCTCGACGCTCTTTCTCGTTTGGTGCGGTAGCTGGTCTTTCTTTCTATAATTTTGTTTTTCTTCCGAGTGGTTGTACCCTATTTTTTTCTGTTTCTTCATGGGGTCGAGTATGCCGGGTTTTGAGACCACGGACTCTCAATCTTCTTTTTTAGAGCGAATGTGAGAAACAACAACAACAACAACAACTGCTGTAGTTGCAGTACATTGCACAAAAATCACAGGCTCAGATAGCACATGTAGGAACGTTCGTGCCTTTCCTTGTATCACGTGTGCATATGCACATCATACATCGTCTATCACCTATCCTGGCCAAGATTTTTGAACCGCCCACGTAACCTACGCTGAATCTACGCGTACCGTATGGCAGCAGCAGCAGCAGCAGCAGCAGCTTAGAGACAGCAGCTTAGAGACAGGGCTGCATATTACATGAAGCTGTAAGGCTGACCGTGTAGATCAACACGGTTGCGTCCTCCCAATTTGAGTTGTGGACACCTCCTCTCGTTTGTGGTGATGAAAGAAAAAGAGCAGGGGGGGGGGAAGGGGTGTTAAGGTGCAGTCGTCCCGGCTTCAAGAACACTCAAGGTTGTTTCCCTCAAACGTGAAAGAGTGTTTTGAGATTCTGGGAGGCGAATAATTCACCATCCTGGGGTCAACGGAAGCGTGCTGTCGCAAAAAAAAACACCTTGTATGTGGGGGTGCAGCTTGGACGAAAGGTAGAGAAAGGCAGGCAGCCTGACGGGTAGGCCGTGGCATGTTGCTGACTGCTTTTTCGATCTGTGCGAAACTGGTGCAACAAGTAGTTGCAGGTGCATACACCCCTTCAATTAGGCCCGATAAACAAAACCGGCGAGATGTGCTTGCACACAAGAAGTTAAACGCGCATACACCACCTCGGTATATTTTCACCTATATATCCGCGCCTTTTGATGAACAGGCTCTTCAATGAATGATTACCTGTTGGGCTGCAACCCCCCTGTCGCTGACTTCCTTCGCGTGAACTCTTTGTCCAGGGCGCGCACCTTGCATATGGGATGCTTTCTGCAAAACTGAAGGACGCGTGGTCAACGGCGATAACGGCGATGTGGCCTGTGACCATTTTACCTTGTACAAGGAAGATGTGAAAATAATGAAGGCACGTGACTGAGGTTCTCTCGCAAGTATTCTTGTTGGCACAATAAGCCGCGGTCTGTTGAGTTATCCAATTCGCGGTTTCGTTGTTTGTACTTGATGTTGTTGTTGTCTTTACATTCACAACCATTCTGACCTCTACTCAGCACCTTCTAGTAGCGCTCGTACCGGCCCAACTGACGCGAACGCCGTCCGTGGTTTTGTGGCAGTCAATCAAAGGAACAACCTGCGTTTGTTATTTAAATCCGACGACCTCACGTGTGGACTGTGCGATGCGCAGTCACCGCCGTGGTTGTTATCGATGGACTGTTGCCCCCTTTGACTGCATTGGCAACATGTGGACCTACCGGCCCCTGCCTTTATTCGGTATCCTTTTCTCCCGCGCTATGCAACAATGTGGGCCTCAGGACGTGGGACTGAAGAACTACAGGCTCTCGATCGCCATGCCAAGGGTTTTCCCCGGGGGACAAGGACCGGCAAACGAAGAAGGGATTGCCTTTTACAACGGGTTAATCGACTGTCTCCTCGACGCCGGCATCACCCCGTGTGTGAGCAAGAGAAACAGAAAGCGTTATCGCTTGAGATAACCGGTCGTCCCGAAGATGAACGAACGCGATCATACACGGTGCAGGCCTGGAGACCATAAGAGCCCGTGGCAGTAAAGAGTTCGACATCCACCGCTGTCGTGACCAACCTGAACTTTCTGTACGCACATGACGTCCTCGAAGACTACCAAGTAGCGAATACGACACAAGGTATTGCCTGATATGGTTTTTGGAATAGTTATCCCAAGACGCAGTGCTCTCACCCCATCAGCTGACGTCGTGGTCACAGTTCTGCTTGCCCCCACTGCCCGTTGGGAAACATTGTTGACACTTCAAAGCTTATCAAACCATTCTTCGAAAAACAGGTCACGCTCTATCATTGGGACCTGCCACTCGAGTTGGAAACGGAGCACGGTGGGTGGCAGAACTACATCACCGTTGAACGTTTTCTGGAGTACGCTGAAGTATGCTTCGAGCGGTTCGGCGATCGAGTCAAGAGCTGGTTGACTTTCAACGAGCCATGGTGAACTTTGTTGTCGCTTGACATGATTTGGTACCCAAGGCTTTTTCAAAGCCACAAACACATGTAGTTTGACAAGCCTCTTGGATCCGTGTTAACGTCATTACACACTCCGTCCTCCCATGTTCACGCTGTACAAATTCACAGTACACTGTGCTTTCACCTTTCCTTTTGTACATTTGGACGGCGTAGGGTTGTTTGGCTTCGGGTTTGTTCATGTTGCCCACGCTGGCAGTCACGAGGTGGGGTGATCTTACCTGATGAAAGTCGTCAAGGCAACAGCGGAGAGCTCACAACAGACTCGGTTTTTGGTGGACTAGACTTGCACCTTTCCGCGATGCGACCGGTACGTGCTGACGATTAGGCCTAATAGACTGTAAATGTGCTTGGAGCAGGTGTGCCGCGGTGTTGGGCTACGGCAACGGAGAAATGGCACCAGGGTGCACATCTTCGGATGCCGTCAAGGTCTACAGAGCGGGTCACCACATGCTGCTTGGGCATGCTCGCGCGGTGGAAATTTACCGCAAGAAGTTTCAGACCGCTCAGAACGGGGTCATCGGCATAACCCTCAACTGCAACTGGACGGAACCCAAGCCTTCCGATGATCCAGAAACGGCAAAGCTGAACGCCGAGGCTGCGGAGCGGTCGGTCCTATGGAACTTGGGGTGGTTTGCAGACCCAGTCTACAAGGGCGACTACGTAAGAGTCTGTTACCAGTTTTGAGGTCCTTCGATAAGTACGCTGGACCTCTGCAAGAAATGTAGGGAACAGCGTTTTCCGCGACCGAGCGTCCGCCTGCAGTTTTGTCGAAGTCGTCGCCAATCAGCGGGGCTGCGTGTTTGTTGTTCGTGGTTGCCATCATTAGTCACAACTCCCGGACACTGTTCGCGCACCTTTCGTTTGGACCAGCCGGAGGTGATGAGGAATCGATGTGGAGATCGACTGCCGGAGTTCACCGCAGAAGAGAAAGCGCTCCTCAAGGGAAGCTCCGACTTTTTTGGACTCAACCACTGTAAGAACTCGCTTGGACGGGTCTGTTTTCGACCACATGAATAGATCCAAGAACGCTGTTCGCGGCTGTTCGGCAACCGCACGCTTACTGTAAGGGTTGCCATACGAACCATCGATAATGTGTGTGCCAGAGTATCCTCCTGGTATCAGCTGTCCCACGATCCTCTCATATTTGTTGTTGATTCGATTTTTTCTCCTTGCCTTGCTGTCTGTCAGACAGCACGGACTATGCAGAGGATGATTCAGGCCCGGGTCATTATGTCTCTCACTGGGGAACGGTAAACACAGGCGGGTTTTGGGGCGACATGGCCGTCCGTGGCTCTACAGATCCGTCATGGGCGAAAACGGACATGGGCTGGCCAATTGTACCGTGGGGTTTTCGTAAGCTGCTGCTCTGGATTCAAGCGCGCTATAGGTGGGTACGCCATCACTTTGTCTGAGATTTACGCGGATCACTTGAAGACGTTCCCGCGAGCACTGTGTGGCGGAAATGTGGTGACATTTGGTCCGTTTACAATTTTCATCATCTGACCCCCCGTCGCCGGCCTGACCTGACCATTCTCGATTGCAGCCCTGAGGGTGGCATCCAAGTGACGGAGAATGGTGCTGCGGTCAACGAACCGACCGTGGACTTGGCAGTGGACGACAAGGCACGGATCGTATATTACGAAGGCTACCTCAAAGAAATGCATGCTGCGATTCAGCTTGGTGCTGACGTTCGTGCGGTAAGCTGTGTGCAGACCGCTACATATGTCCTTGCCGGCTTAATGTATATCCCTCACATACGAGTACATGCATCTCCTTAAACCGCCATGCATTGCCGTGAAACTTGAAAAATACCGGTCCCGTCGCCCTTCCTCGTTGACGGTTTTCATGTGTCAACTTGGCGACATGTTCACCAACAAAGTACTACGCGTGGAGCTTCATGGACAATTTCGGTAAGTTCGCGAACAAATTATCACAAGCAATCAGGTAGGGATGCCAAGAAAAGCGTGGCAAACGTTCCCTCTGCTGTCGGATGTGCGCATGAATAGGCAAGGTGCTTAATAATCCTCATCGACGACTGTTGCGTTTTCCCATTTTCTGCAGAGTGGGCCTACGGGTACAGCAAGCGTTTCGGACTCGTCCACGTGGACTACAACACCATGAAGCGGACACCAAAGAGTTCGCTCAAGTGGTTCTCGAAGGTTCTGTCCACCAACACGCTTGAGGTAGATGAGTAATGGAGATATTTTTGTACAGTGCATGTTTCAATTTGTCTCCAAAGCGTTTCTGGCAGTGCACACGAAAGCACCCAGTTTGCACCTGTATTTTTTGTCCCAATTTCATGCAATTGTTGCAACGAAGTATTTGGCTGGACGTTTTTGAGTGCACTCATCAAGGGTTGGAGTTCGTGGTTGGTGGTGATGGAGGACACGTTCATTGTGATCATTGGCCTCGGCTTGAGGGATGGGAGTGCGGGAGACAACTCGTGACTACCGTTTGTGTTTTCTCGGGAGTGTATGCTCCGATGGCGGTCAGTTAAATCAATTGAATGAGTAGCACCTGCGTTTTTTTGTCAACCGAAGGCATGAGCACGCGGTTGTGTATACCATGTCTTGGTTTTCGTTCTACTCGGCCAGGGCCCTATTTTTCGCCCGTGTATGCATGCATGCAGGAATTGGTCGCCCGTGGGTGTGAAAATACCAATACTTGTAGGACCACGAAGTTTACTCGCCCGGGAGGCAACGGCCGATCTGTGCATTAAGCACGCCCCTCACATGGTTCATTCTGGTATTTTTTGTGCACCCACATGGTGAACTAGCCTTGCGCCAAACGTCGGGAAGATGAAGAAGTTGCTCTGTAGGGGATGCAACAAACTCGCGTGTGATTTGCCATGACAGCAGTCTCTTGTAGAGAGACGCTGCGGGAGAGGCGGAAATGATCCAAAAGCCCCCGCGAGTGTCTTAAATAAATCGAACGTCAACAGTACAGAACCACAACTTAATAGATTTAATATGCTCTGGCGCAACCTGCTCTCCCGACCGCATCTCTATTGCTATATATAAACCCTTTAGTCGCTGATTGCCCTACAGAGATAGAAGCCGCGGGCCCCTCGCGGCTTGAGGCGCCCTCTTCGCGGGGGGTGACTACACGTGTAAGTGCCCACGTTTTCCTCTAAATCATCTCCGTAAATGCATGTTATGATTTTTTTTTTTTCACTTCAAATCAGCGCTCACGGCACTAGTGCCGTTTACTCCAACCCGTGGTCACACAGAAGAGCCCCTCTCTACCCTTCCCTCCTGCGGTACTTTGCCTTCGATTTCTAATGCGAGAAAGGAGTCCCTCTGTGTACACACGAACTACCACTATCCACTAGGCCAGGAGCGGAGGCGAGAGAAAAACTCACTTTGCAAGAAAAGCTCGCTTGCGCCGGGATTCGAACCCCTGACCTGACCTCTACAAGGTTTCGAGGTTATCAAGAAGACTACCGGAGCGACCGGCGGCTACACCCTTCCCGAACAAGGGCGGATTGTTGCAAGGTCACAGGAAGAACTCTCTGCCAACACCAAGAAATCGGACATTTATGTATGTCGTCTTGGGCTGGGCCGGTTCACGTGCGCTGCGAAAGCCTTGTAGACGGGTTGGTTTGAAGCTGGGGTTAGTTCTCCGGCTTAAAGTGCACTGGCTACCGCATCCTAACTCTTGGAGCTCTCGCGGCCTTCCTCTCCTTCTTCGCCTGACGCTTAAGATCTGCTGCCGAGGGCTCCTCGCTCGCATTCAGTTTTTGTTGAGAGCGCACCCATCCCCCCAGCTTTCGGAATACCCAATACCCTGCTAGGCACGCGTAATACCCTGGCACCTGGAATGCATAAGTCAAGTCCATGTAGATGAGGTCAGTTGTGTGCGTTTGCCAACTCGACTGTATTGAGTGACTTTTGGCACAAACAGCCACACCTACACATACAGCCAGAACAAGAACGGCAACTGGGCAACCGAAGCGCTTTTCACACGCACTACCCACCCCCCTGTACAGAAACCACACTAGGTACCCGTGCAAACAACTCACGACGTGTTGCTGTACAAGTTCACGGAGATGCGTTTACACGCAACTCACCAACATGTATATGTAGGTCCCGTATGCACTGAAGGCTGACACGAGTTGGCCGGCCACACACACTGCGAAAAAGTCGAAATACGCTCCTCCACCCACGCCACTTTTCGCGGCCTCTAGCATTCCGTGATAGCAGACGTAGTACACCGTTGACGTCACCGCAAGCCCAATCACTTGCCACCGGCCGAACGTTTCAAAGCACCACAGGCCTTGCGAGCGTGATATCGAGAAACGAGCGTACGGGAGACAAACGTAAGACGCACAACTTGCCATCGGTGTGTTGATGCATTCTGCCATCCATCAGACCACCCCAGCAGGCCACGTCACCCTGAAAGTACGGCACATTCGCTCAAAAGCTTAGGGTCCCGTGAATCTCTTCTGGCGCATCCTCGCGACGGGATAAATATGTTCACCGTGATAGCCGCACTTCGGGCTTCCATCGCATGTTATTCAAGCCGTGGTTAGAGAGAACGATGGGCAACCATAGCAGCTGGAGCTACCATCACATCAATCCCTTGGTAGCACTCGGTCGAAATAAGTCTTGAATCCCGAGATCGAGCTGGTCATCTATCGAGATAATGGGCGTACATGTGAAACGGAAGGGCTGCTACAGCAGTAGCATAGAAACATTCACATCATCTCCCACACAAGTAGTCTGCGATTTACCACCCCCGCAGACCCCTACCTCGATACAGCACGTAGATGAGGTTTACGCCAAAGATAATAGGGTAGTATAGGTTGGCCGCATCTTCCCTCGCCTTCGCTGCCTTCTTCGCTGCCTAAAGTTGGTACGAAAGAGAGCGCGAAAGGCGGCAGAAGTGGATCAGGAGAGCATACAGCCATTATGACGGTGTACCGACATACCACTGCTCAGCACTCTGCTGCCGCTGTTCAACACCAGCGAGAGTTCTGCTGACCTGCTGACCCTTAGCGGCGAGGTACCCAAGCGGTGGAGCACAGACGACACACAGGATTGTGTATACCGTTTGCTGAGCAACAATGTCTGCTGCATGTCTACGAGACCCAGAATCCATGTCGCTGGCTTTGTTTAAAGGTAATCGAGTTTTCAGCTTCAAATTAATTTTCTAAGTAACAGGATGGACGCGACCAACCAAACATTTTGATATTTAGAAAATTCTTCCTATCAAACTCTACATACAGTGTCACGATATTTTATATCCGCTATTCAGGGCATCGCCGCTAAACTTCTTTAGCGGTCATGAACTGCTAAACCAGGGGGCTCAACACCGGTCATGAACCGCTAAACCGGGAAAAAGCCCATTTTTGCCCTACAAAAGCAGCGTCGAGCTCATCTTGATAGGCCTACTTGTCTCATTGCAGCAGCCATACGAACGTGCAGATGATGAAGCATTGTAACGAGCCATAGAAGGACAAGATGCCGCACGTACATAAATTAGTGCATTTTCATTCGCCAAAGAACGAAGTTTATTCTCCCTTCTGGACTGTGTGCCCCTCATCAAGACTGGAACATCGTTCGCGTCTCTAACGAAGTGAAGGTGATGAGACAAACTTGTGACAACGCAATGGCAACTAACCAGCACGTGCTTGAGCATCTCGTTTCTGCCATGTGTCGTGTATTAACCCAACAAAATCTCTCTGATATTTGCCTTAGCGCTGGTTGAGCGGCGCGCGCTGCGAGGAACGCCATTTTTGCCTTGCGAAAATAGTGTGCTGCTTCGCTTACGCCACACGACTCCGCGCTCTCCACGCTGGCCAATATCCGATGACAGCTCCGAGTATGAATGGTGGCGGCGCCATCACCCCCCTGCGCTTCGAACCGTCAACTTGCCACGGTATCTAGCCCTAGCTCTAGGTCATCGTCGGAGGGGTTAGGCCCCCGTCCATGTATGTACATACTGGATAATTTTAAACAAACTCGTCATTCATGCCCTTATGCAAAGCTGGGGGAGGCTAAACTATCCTTCGGATCAAAAACAGAAACAGCCGCAACAGAAGAAAACTGCACCCGTCTACCAAGGCTATTACCTAGTACTCGAGTTCGTTTAGGAGTACTTTCACCAGTGTCCTCCTTGTTTTCGCTACCATCATTCTGATCCTCATTTCGACAAGAAGAATCTCTGGGCAGTTCTTCCCTAGCCCTACGTTTCTTGTTGTGGGGAAGGTCATCTGGCTCAAACCCTTTGCTCTCTTCCACTCCTCCATGTTTTCCTGCTCCATCGTCGTCTGCATCCTCCTTTCTCCCATTTCCCTTTTCTTCGTCTTCATCACTCCCAAAAGAATTACTCTCACCACTATGGTTGTCGCAGAGATCCCAACCGATTGGCCCTGGTGGAAGTTGGTCGATCAGTAGCCCATGACGTTTGAACACATCGCGAGTTCGCATCGACAGAAAACGAGCTAGCTCGAAGGTAAACCGTCTCCGAATCCTGTTAGTATGAAAAGCTTTCAGGCGAACTAAGGC